CCCCATCCCCCACCCCCACCACTTGGTCGTTCATGGATTATTTTCCAAGTTCATAAGTGTAGATTTATTTATATAGTAAGCTTGACAGTGACTATGCTCTAGCTTCTCTTCTGGTCCTTTCAGAGATCTTTCCCTCTTCTTTCTCTGTGCCTGGGGCGTGGATCCTAGAAGCGTGCATGAAGGGGCTGTCCTTGCCCCCTGCCTGCGGTTGGTTTGGGATAATGGGAAGCATCAGATGGAGCAAGGAGGCTGGAGAACCCAGGTGTTTCCTGTGAGGTCTTAGAGAGCGCTTTTCTTAACTGAAGACCGTCTACTCTTCTCAAACACTCTCTTTACTGGACAACTGTCTTCAAGTTCTTTTTTTTAGCTAACCATGATGTTTTAGTAGTTGAATACCTGCAGAATGTCAATAGACAACAGTTATATAGTTTTATATAGGAAAAATTGAAATCAAAAGCCACACATAGCCGGTGGTTTAGCTCAGTGGCACAAGCACAAAGTTGTGAGTTCAATCCCTGGTACCAAAAAAAAAGCCACACATAATGTAGCATGACAATCATGACATATTTTTTTGGTACTGAGAATCAAACTCAAGACCTTGTGCTTGCCAGGCAGGCACTGATGCCACTGAGCTAAATCCCCAGCCCTCATGATGACATTTTTGTAACACACCTAAATTTCTATTTTGACATGAAATAGCCTTTTGGGTCAATTAGCTCTATCTAGTACATAAGAAGCTTTTACTTAACTTGTTGACCTTTAATGGGATGTCACTGGAGAAGTTCGTGACATTGTTTGGACTACTTAATGTCTAGGCATCTCTAAGTGTAGTGGCACATACACAGCATAAACAAGTTTTTGCTAAAAATATTACTGACAGGTGACCTTATATCTGCTTGGCATGAACTTCCTATCACATGTACAATCCTGGAGTACAAGAGAAAGGCAGATGCCTGAATCTGAAAGAAAATATTTTCACTATTAATAGTATCTCTTCAAGCTCTTGAAACCAACCACTCCCTCTCACTTATACTCAAGCAGAGAAACTCCAGGGACATATACTCATCCCTCATAAATCTTTTTGTTCCTAAGTAAATTCTCCTGATTACCCAGCTTGAAAAATGCCGGTAAATCTTGCTGGGATCCTAACTGGTACTATTAGGTCAAGGATTTTTTAAGAGGGGGTTTTGCTATGTAGTCCAGGCTAGCTTTGAATTTATGTTGATCCTTTTGCCCTAGTTTCCCAACTGCACAACTATGTTCAATATGTCCAGCTCAGGGGCTGGGGATTTAGCTCAGCAGCATAAGCACCTGCCTCGCAAGCAGGCGGTCTTGAGTTTGATCCCTGGTACCGATAAAAAGTTAAAAAAAAAAAAAAGAGCAAACAATATGTCCAGCTCTTTCTTTTATTTCTCTTTTTTATAGTGCTGGAGTCAAACCCAGGTCCTTGCGTACACATGTGCTTTACCACTGAGCCATGTCCCCGCACCTGAAAAATGCTATTTAGAGAAGCAGGGACAGTTGTATGGAAATGGTACTGGGGTATAATCAAACAGTAATAGTAACCTAGCAAAGCCTATCTGTTCAGATTTTTTTTAAAAGAGTCTCTTTGGCCTCTCACCTGTAGCATTTCTTCCTCTCTGGAATGAGGTGGGACCTGCTGGAAGGAGAATTTTATGACCTACTACTTGGACAAAGGTAAGTTGGAGAATTTATTACCAGCTTGAGATGAAAGGCTGGGGAGGTTAGTCCAAGAATTTTAGTTTTATGGCTGGTCTTGGAAACAGGGACTCTAATGTCTTGTGTTTTTTTGTTTTTCTTTTTGGTACTAATGATGGAATCCAGGGTCTGTTGCATGTTCAGTAAACCTGTCTGCCACTGAGTCACAAACATGCCCAGGCCTGAAGGAGATCTTAAAGTCTGTGACCCCCTTTGAGGAAGAGGAATTCTGCTTCCTGTGACTTGCTTTGTGGGAGAATGAGGGGTGACAGACAGGAAGGTGGAAGTGTTCAGAGTAACATTGGTTTGAAGGCTTCCAGTATCCTTTAGCTCAAAGTACTTAGTATATCCAAGCACCAAATTTTGGGGTATTGTTTTCTGAGCTCCAACATAAGTCAAGGGAGCAGAATTAAGTAGCTAACAGGAGAGATAAATTTCTGCAAGATTTTTATAGACATAATTTAAAATATAAAGATAAACTGAGTACTTTTTTTTTTTTTTTTGAGATAGGGTCTTGTTATGTAATTCAGCCTGGCCCTGAACTCATTCTGTGGCCCATGCTGGCTTCAAACTCACTCTACCGCCTCAGCTTCTCCAGAGCTGAGGTTATAGGAGTACGCCACCACACCTGGCTGGAGCTGTAGTTTGAACTCAGAAAACACATCTGCTGTGAATTATGTGGAGGTCTTGCTTCATTTACCTTTTGACAGGCAAAAATGTCTTATGCAATTTTATATTACTTGTGAGTCAATTACTGTAATGACTGTCACAGAGTGAATTGCACATACTAGCACGATTTTGCCTTCTAACTTTAAGTTGAATTCATCAAGAAACAGTATTGAGTCTGCAACAAAGACCAATTTCTAAAGGCATTTGGTGGAGTTTTCAGGGGTTGTTGTGGGGATGCTTTTGGTTTTGGTTTTGGTTTTGATACAGCATCTCACTATGTAGTGAAGGCTGGCCTTGAACTCATGTGTAACACAGGCTGGCCTCAAACTCATGGTAATCTTCCTGTCTCAGCTTCCCAGCTGTTTGAAAATAGTGGTTGATGGCAGTTCTTCTCATATAGAAAATGTTTAATCTCAATGCTGAATTCAAAAACAAAACAAACCAGGGCTAGGAGTATAATTTAATGGTAGAGTGCACATAAGAGGCCCTGGAGGGCTGGAGATTTAGCTCAGTGGCACAAGCACCGGCCTCGTAAGTGTGAGGTCATGAGTTTGATCCCCAGTACCAAAAAAAAAAAAAAAAAAAAAAAAAAAAAAAAAGAGACCCTGGATTAAATCCCTAGCACCACCAAAATCAGTCAACCAAACATTTTTGTTTTGGTACTGAAGCAAGCCAGGCAAATGTTCTACCACTGACCTACATCCCTAGCCTCTCCCTACCTTTCAAAATTTTTATTTTGAAAAACAATTTTTTTCTATTGAGACAAGTTCTTGCTAAGTTTTCCAGGCTGGACTTAGACTTGTGCACCTCCTGCCTCAGCCTCCCAAATAGCTGCGGTTGCAGGCACACATTGCCATGCCCAGCTAAATACATAGTTGTATTTATTTATATTTATTATTATTATTATTATTATGGTACCACGGATCAAATGCACCACCTCGCACTGGCCAGGTAGGCATTTGTGCCACTGAGCTAAATCCCCAGCCCTAACACGTAATTTTTTGTTCTTTGTTTTTGGTACCAGGGATTGAACTTATAACCTCACACTTGCCAGGCAGGCACTTACACTGCTGAGCTAAATCCCCAGCCTCCTAACCTGTAGTTTTAAACACCATGATTTTTTTTGTGTGTGTGGTACCGGGGATCAAACTCACAACTGCACACTTGTAAGGCAGGCGCTCATGCTGCTGAGCTAAATCCCCAGCCCTAACACCATGATTTTTGCACAGTAAAATACATTTTTTATCCCAACATTGTTACATGATAAATGAAAAAAAGTTAGAGAATTTAATTATCATTGCCCAGACACACTAATATGCCACAATAACCTGTGGTCTACTTTTCATCGTTAAAACTTATTTAAAAATTATCTTGGAAACTTCGTCATTTTCAGCCAGTAGTCTTTCCTTGTCTACAGTTAAATATGTCAATGCTTGCTGGGTGTGTTGGTGCACACCTGTTATCCCAGCACTGTGGAAGGCTGAGGCAGCAGGCTTGCAAGTGTGATTGAGCCCAGCCTGGAAATTGTCTCTTAGCGAGATCTTGTCTCAAAACTGAAAAAAGAAAAAAAAAAAAAAAAAGGTAAAAGTTAAAGGACAGTTAGATGGAGGCCCTAGAGGCAATTCTGAATCCTGGGGGAAAAATAAATCAGTGTTTTTGGAGGAAGTATCAAGGGTTTCCTCTACATTCTCTGGATGAGTAGCTCTTGAACTCTTTCAGCAGAAGGGTTTTAGTGTCACGTGGTCATCACTTCCCTTGCTCCTTGGAAAACAGACAGGACGGAGGGCTTTTTCTGATACTCTGCAGATCAGTTTCAGGAAGCCATTCTGTTATCTCAGCATGTGATAAGCCTTCTTCAGCCTCCAACTCCCCCCCAAACCCCTCCTCCCATGGAGGACTGAACCTTTCTCCCCTAAACTACCTCTCTGTCCTTTTTTTTTTTTTTTTTTTGAGACAGTGTCTCATTACACCAATTTTTTTTTTTTTTAACTTCCCGACACAGTTTCACTAAATTGTCTAAGACCAATCTCCTGCCTCGGCCTCCGTGGTTGCTGGATAACCACAACAGAGCTGAATCTAAAGATTTTTCCTTGCTTTCCACTTCGGAGTAAGAATCCTAGCCAAACGCTGGGGTGCCGTCCTTTCACAAAAGTGAAAGATGGAGAAGGGGGTCGATGAATACACAGGCTAGGAGCAGACGAACGTAGGGCGCGGGAAACACTTTGCTCAGAGGCAGGGAGAGGTGCTTTCTCCGTCGGTTCCTGGTTCGGCCACAAGTTCTTTTCATCCAAGTTTATAGTGAATATGGGTTCTCCGCGTGCCAAGCTGAATAGGTAGACAGCATGCAGAGAGGCCGAGTAGAGCCAGTGTAGGTAAGATCGCCGACCTGCTGCTTTCTCCTGGACTCGCGCGATCGGGGATGCGGACCGCGCCAAGGACAAGGAAGCACCAAGGGGGCACCAAGAAGGCACCAAGAGGGCACCGGGCTGGGCGGGGCTGAGTGGGAGGAGCTTGCCCAGGCGGGGCGGGGCTGTGCGGGCGGCGGATGGGGGCGGGGCGGGGCGACGCGGCGCGGCGGGAGTCCTGGGAAGCGATAGCCGCGTGGGCCGCTGGGCTCCGCGGCGCGCGGGCCTTTGCGCGCTCTGACCAACATGGTCCTTTCTTCGGGAGAGGGGGCCAGGCTTGCTCTCGTGGCTGGCTTGGGCGATGAACCTGGAGCGCCCACCTGGCCGGGTAGAAGGCACAGACGGTCAGGTGGAGCTGTCTCTTTAAGACCGTGTTCTTGTTGACTCCAGGTGAGAAACCCGGGCACGGGGTCCCGGGAGGAACCCTGAGGAGGGGCGGGGCCTTCCTGTGGTCGGGATGGACAGAACGAGTACCCGAGTCCGGGCGAAGCTGAAAATGGGATCCGGGCTCCGCTTTGAAGCTGCAGCCCAGGTACCTTGTGAAATTTAGCCGGACTCCTGCGGAGGGCGAGGATGACCCAGCGAGGCCAGCCCCTGGCCGGGCCCCCCCCCCGCCCCCGCGTCCGCAGGGCTCAGCCCTTCGCGAATCCCGGAAAGCCCGGTAGCTTGCGACGGGCAGGGGTGCAGTCGGAAGCGGCAGGCGTGGTGGATGGGGAGGCAGAGGAACCCCGATGTCAACTTTCGGGTGGCCCTTGGGCACAGGGTTCTGTGGGCACTTGTTCCCTCTGCAAGTGGAAATGGGCAGAAGAGGCTTCCAGCAGCTCCCCGGGGACCTCACAGAGTACGGTGCCCGCAGAGCACAAAGGTGAGGCTGGGCGGTGTAAGGACTAGCGGGGAGCGATCGGAACATTGTGAAGTCACAGAGGAAGTGAGATGCTGTGGCTGGGATCCGGTGCTGCGGTCTGGGGCTAGGGACTTTGTGGCCCAGACAGTCTCAGCACTCTGCCTGTGCAAGGAAGCCTCTGGCATCGTATCTGGTGCCCAAGCTGGACTGACTAGCCGGGTGAGGACACCCCACCACAAGGGTCCCTCTCCCTGTCTCATGCTAAAATGAAAAACATGTCTGGTGTCTGCCCTCATAAAGCTTGAATGCCACCCATCATATGGAAGGAAAGTAGTAGCAAGATGGAGTGGCACATCTGTCTCCTTTTTGCCTACTTCAGCAGACCACCCTTGCTTGGCCCAAACCCAACTCTGAGAGCTTTCTGTTCCTCCTGCATAGTTGGCATCAGGACTTGGGGTACCAGGGCTCTGGGGAGTATGCACTGGAGAGCAGATGTGTCCTGAAGATGAACCCCTGACTCCCATCCTCCTCCTCCTCCTCCTCCTCCTCCTCCTCCTCCTACAGATGCAGAGGCCTCCATGGCTGTGCTAAGCCTGCTGTTCTTGGCAGTCATGTACGTCGTTTACCACCCGCTGATGGTCAGTGACCGGATGGACCTAGACACACTAGCCAGGAGCCGGCAGCTGGAAAAGCGACTGAATGAGGAGATGCGGCAGTTAAACATAGAGTTTGAAGAGAGGAAGCGAGTAGCTGAGCAGAAACAGAAGGCAGAGGACTTCTGGCGAGGAGAAGTACCCAAGGACCAGTTAGTGCTGGGGAAGAAAGAGAGGGAGTGGCCGTTCCAGGCTTTTGGCCAGGAGGGGCCTCTGGGCTGGATGCTGGGAAACCTATGGAATGCTGGCCTCTTTTGCCTCTTTCTCATCTTTGAGCTCCTGCGGCAGAACATGCAGCATGAGCCAGACTTTGATTCCAGCAGCGATGAGGAGGAGGAAGTCCGGGTTATGTCTGTCCTCTCTTCCAGCTGGCTCAGTGACTTCCCCTCTCAGGAGGCCTTGGAATTCTTTTACAAACACCACATCCAAAATGCCATCCGTGACCTGTCAGGCACCTGCGAGTTTGTGGAGAGCTTTGTAGATGATCTGATTGAGGCCTGTCGGATGCTCAGCCGGCCAGAAGCTCACCTGCAGTTGGAGGACTGCCTGGGTATCGGGGCTGCCTTTGAAAAGTGTGGAATCCTCCACAAGATCCACAAATTTGATGTCCTGGTGCCAATTGTCCCACCACAAGGCACCATGTTTGTCTTGGAAATGAGGGATCCTGCCCTCGGCCGCCGTTGTGGCAGTGTGCTGGTGGAGTCTGAATGCGTGTGCAAGCGAGAGAAGCTCCTGGGGGATGTGCTGTGTCTGGTGCACCACCATAGGTCCCCTTTGGCAGGCTCAGGCAAGTGCCACAGCTCCATCAAAGGATCTCTCTGCACCGGTGTCCACCTGGATGTATACAAGACTGTGCAATGGTTCCGGAGCTTGGTGGACAGTGCCTGGGCTCTAGTGGCCCACAAGTATGACTTTAAGCTCAGTCTCCCACCATCCCCCACCTCCTGTAAGCTCAGGCTGGACTACCCCTCAGGCCGCATTCTCTCCATCAGCTTGGTCCTGGGGGTTCAACGGGAGGACACCTTAGTCTACCTGGTGAGTCAGGCCCCTGAGCAGGAACAGCTCACCAGTGTGCACTGGCCAGAATCCTTTGCAGCCTGTGAGCACTTGTTCCTGAAGCTGGTGGGACGCTTTGCCCCTGAGAACACCTGTCACCTCAAGTGCCTCCAGATTATTTTGAGTCTCCAGGACCACCAGAGGTTACCCAATGGGGAGTCCCACCCCATCCTTACCGCCTATCACTTCAAAACAGCCCTCATGCACCTGTTGCTCCAGCTGCCCCTCACGGACTGGCAGCACAGCATGCTCTCCCGGCGGCTCCAAGATCTCGTCTGGTTCTTGGGCCGAGGCCTCCAGCAAAGATCCCTCCATCACTTCCTCATTGGTAACCCCTTCTTGCCCCTGACCATACCAGTCCCCAAGACGTTTCGGAATGCTGAGCCTGTCAATCTCTTCCAACACCTGGTGCTGAACTCCACAGCACATGCGCAGGCAGTGGAGGAGTTCCACAATCTTCTGACCCAGCTCAAAACTCTGCCCTGTCCCCCCCTGGCTGGGGTGTCTTAATACAAAGGCCGTTGAAAAAATGAGGTTATTTCTGATTTTTTCCAGCTACAAAAGTTTCTTTTCCACATATGTCAGTGGTATACATGACCTTCACCGTGCAGTGGGGAGAGTGCTAGGATACAATAAGGCACTTGAAGAAGTGGGTAAAGGGGCTGGGGATTTAGCTCAGCGGCCTAGGCCTAAGTACCTGCCTTGCAAGCAGGCAGTCGTGAGTTTGATCCCTGGTACCGATAAAAAGGAAAAAGACAAAAAAAAAAAAAAAAAGTGGATAAAGTGGCCATGGGAACCTAATTTAGGGTGGGGCTGAGCTTTTCTTCTGATCTTTCATCATTACCCAAAGACAGTCCAGGGAAACGGATATGATGGGAGGATCTTGCTGCTAAGGAGCTGACATGCTATGAAATTGTATTTCTGTGTCAACACTGGAAGTTCAAGAGAACCAGAGAATACCTCCATCCTGGCTGACTCCTTTTTGTGAATGACTCCCAACACGTTCGTTGTGAATGGTTTCTATGTTGAACTGTTAGCTGAATTCCCATGCTGTGGCACTCTATCCTAGATACTGTGGTAGCAACTTCTACTTTAGGATCTAATTTTTCATACCCTCACTGTTTTGAAAATATAACCTAAGATGTTTTTCATTCTATTAGCCCAGTTTTCTTACAAACATTGTAGCTGTCTTTGTGACAGCTTAAATTCTAGTACTACCCCAATAATTCATTAACATTCATTTGCAAACATGTATTAACTCAGTAGTGCTCTGTCCCAGACTTGAGATAATGGATTTCCTATAGCTAATGAAATAGCCAATTTTGATGACTCTTCCAGTGGCCAAGAGCTAAAGCTCTAGGACAAGCTTTCTGAGACCAACAATTTGTCCCTGAGTGAGGGCCCCTCGTTAATTAAATGGAAAACTTTAGCTACCACATGGAGCTGGGCATTTTCTAATCATGCGTTAGTCTCTTGTCAAATACGATGCATTTAAGTATGTTTTTAGTTTTGAAAAGAGGGGTTATCACAATCCAGGCCCATTGCCAGGGCTGGACAGGAAGGGACTGTAAAGCATTCAACTCCAACAGTGTCCTGATTCTAGAGATATGATTCGGGTATTTTCTTGAGCATCCTGAGGAGTCTTAAGAAACAGTTGTGGGTGTGGTTGTTTTGGAAATATCACTGCTGTTCCTACCTAGCACTGCCAGGAAGATCTGCTGAGGTGGAGAACCTGGCCCCTCATTTAACATGGCTCAGTGGTGACCCGATGCTGCCTTCTCTTGTAGAATCTACATCTCACTCCCAGAGAAATAAGTGTCCTGGGAGCTGACATCCGTCAGTATTGGGACTCCTGCTGCACAACAGCTACTGTTTTATGTTTTTGTCTTTTTGAGACGGGGTCTCACTATGCTGTTCAGACTGGCCTTGAGCTTACTTTGTAGTCCAGGCTGGTCTCAAACTCGCAACGATCCTCCTGCTTCAGCCTCCTAAGTGCTGAGATTACAGGTGTTCACCACCATGCCCAGCTAATGGCTGCTGTTTTCCATGTCACCTGCTGGCATCTGGCAGGTACTGCTTTCAAAGTAAGATATGATGAGGATTGGACCTATGGTGGAGGAATTCAGTGTTTTAAAAACATTTGTGTATTTTTTATTTTGAAAATCACTTGCTGGTGTTTTCCTTCCACTCAATAAAAGAGGCTGTTTTCTGTATCAGTTGGAATCTGTTCAAGAACATGCTCAGCAGGTGAGCAGTCTCACATACTTGTTCCCAAGAAGTTCTTGTTGTCTTGACAGCTCCATCCAGTACATCCTGGTCTTTCTCAATGTACCTCAAACCAGTCTTCCCTGTGGTGTCCCAGCGGGATGGCCAGTAGCCAGGAAAGAACACTTCAGAAAGTTAAGGAACATCTAGGTCATTTTCATGGTGTGTCCAAACCAAAATCAAAGGTCATAGTGGACACAGAGAGCACACATAAGCTCGAGAAGTCTGTGTGGGTAGAAAGAAAGTGTGATTTCTAGGCCTGGATGTTTTTAGTTGAAAAGAAAAAAAAAAAAAAAGTTATGTGTAGGCAGATGATTACAAAGGGAACAGCAAAGTTTGAACGGGGCAGAAGGTACAAGAAAGAGTACACAGGAAAAAAAAGTAGTAATGGAAAGACCAGACCTGTGGTGCTCTGGGAATACTCTCACAATTAGGGGGAAACCTCTCTAGATATTTAGGAAGCTATGCTTTATTTTGATACAAAACCTGGCGAACCCCCAAGAGGCAACAGCAGTTCTAGTAATGGGAATATTTAGTGTTCACTGAGCTTTGCCAGTGGTCTGGCCACTGTTTAAACTGCTTTAGAGTTTGTAATTCATACACTATAATTATAATACAAGTGAACCCTTTTACCCCCTCTTATTTTACATCTGATAAAACTTGGACACATAAAGGGTACACAGCTTTCCCTGGCAGGGCTAGTTAAGTGGCACAGCCTGGAAGAAAGTACCTTTCCTAGCAATGTTGCATGTGGTCTTGAGAATAAAACAACATTTAGGGGTTAAATGTGGTTTTTTGTGGAGGCGGGAGAGAAGCTCTACATGTAAGATACAGAGAAATATGTTGTTTGGAAATTCTAGAAAACAGATTGCTGGTTCTTAGCCCAGTCTTTAGGAGGTCAGGAATTTCCTATCGCATACAAAAATTAGAGCCATTTGCGCAAAGGACACAATGAATGCAAAGCCCATTTTGTTCTAGCAGCTTGCCAGTTTAAATCAGGAACTATATTATAGTTCTAGGAGGCTGCAGGCTGGAAAGTCAGAGCAAGTTAACGCCAAAAATTTCCTTGTTCGGGTACTTCGCTCCTTCAGAATTGAAAAATCTGTTTCTCACCTGTATTGAGGCAAGTAGAATCCGGTGAGGAGTGCACTGGGGGAGGGGAGTGGGAGCTAAGGGTGGGGAAGGGCCCCACTACTTTACTTTGGCGCAGACAGAGGAATTAAGCTTCACTTGCCAGTGATAATATCCACAGATCATTCAATCTTTTGGCACCCTCTGTAATCCTAGCCCCCAAACAAAGAAGGCATTCACAGCAGGAGGTAAAAGACCTGTATGTATTGGGTGAGCCCTGCTTGCAAAACACTGGGTGCGGAGCTGGCTTTGCCTCTCTGCACATAAGAGCTCCCAGTCAGCTCCCAGGGGCTCCATCCGGGAGACAAACAGCCTCAGGCCTCTCCTGGGTTGCCAGCCAGTTTTTCAGGGGCTCCCATTTCAGTGCCACCAGGAAACTCTTTCAGCTCTCAGTGTTTAGTGGTTGGTGTATACGTGGAATCCAGAAAATCACACCTCCTCCTGCTATCCTGCACGCAGGACAAGTTAAATGAGGGAAGTGGCAGGGCCCGTAGCTGACATTCATTGTGCCTGTGTAGTCACAGACAATTGAAACCATTCACTAATCCTGAATGTGGTCCTGTGAAGGAGGTACTGCCACCCACATTTTCCTGGAGGGGAACACATCCAGCCCAGGGTTTGGGGGTGGGGAGGCAGGGAACTGGATCTTGGGTCCCAACCCAGAGTTTAACTTGGTCTCTTCATTTTGCCCTTTCTCTGCATATTTAAGCACTGGCTGTGTCCCAGACCAGCATCAGGGGCTCAAAAAACAATGGTGAACAAAGACAACTCTGAACTCATGGAGTTGACAGTCTATAGCGGGACAGACATGATAGTCAATGTAAAATTGCACCAAGGATAAGTTTTAAAGTTTGCAGCAAAGATAGCATGGTAGCTCACGCCTGTAATCCCAGCACTCAGGAGGCTGAGACAGGAGAATCTCTTCGAGTTTGAGACCAGCCTGGGCAACAAAGTGAGCTCAAGGCCAGCCTGAACTGCATAGAGAGACCCTGTCTCAAAAAGACAAAAACAAAAAAAACAGACTGGGTGTATCAGGGAAGGCCTCCCTCAGGCAGGGACAGCAGCTACTGGAAAGAACTAGGTGACAAAGGTGAAAGGATCCTAGAGTAGAAGACAGCACAAGTGTAGAGGCCCTGGGGTGGCAGTGGACACAGTGAGACTAAGTCTAAGAAAGAAAGGCCAGTTATCAGCTGGGTGTAGTGGTGTTGCAGGCAGCTGAGTTAGTCAGAAATATTATAGGCAGTCAGACAGGGCTGGGTCCTAGACAGAGCCAGTACAGATACCTGGCAACTGACACCTCCTGCTGTGGGCCAGGCCTCAAGACAGAAGACCAAACAAATGCACCCATATCCTGAGGATTGATACCCTAAATAGTTCCCTATCATCCAGAGGAAGCCAGGAGTCACCATCCCAACCCTCTAGGGAAGAGTCACTGCTCCTTAAGAATGTCCATGCTTTCTATGTGACTCGCTTCCCCATTTGACCCTAATGTAATCAATTTTACCTGAACTATCGATCTTATTGGCTAACTATAGATATGTCCCACCTTATGCCCATCTGTTTTGTGAGTTCCCAGTGTTCTCCCACCTGGGACCCGTCTTGCCCCATGATTTTGCTCTATAAAAGTCCTTGGCAACCTGCTTGGGACCCCTTCTGTCTCTCTCAGACAGAAGCTTTCTTTCTCTCAATAAATATGTTCTACTCTTAACCTCCATTGTTCCTAAAATTCATTCTTTGATTTTAGAGAACACAAACTCATACAGGACATAGTAGGTTGGGAGTTTCATTCCCCTATATGAGTGGCACATACCTAAAATCCCAGCTCCTCAGGAGGCTTAGGCAGGAGGAACACAAGTTGTAAGCCAGCCTTGATAATTTAACAAGAACCTGTCTCAAAATAAGGGCTGGGGAGGCAGCTCAGTGACAAAAGCACTTTCCTAACATGTGCAAATTGCAAATTCCTGGGTTCAATCCTTAGTGGGGGTTGTGGGGAGAAAAGAAATGCCAGCATTGAAAGAGATTTTTAGGAGACACAGAAAGGCAGCTGGAGGGCACTATGCAAGGGGTTGGAGGGCCAAGGTACAAGAGGCTGGAGAGGCCATGGGGCCAGACCCTGCAGGGCCTTGTGCACTCTCAAGAAGTCCCCAGGACAATGGAACTTTTGAAGGGCTTTAGATTTCTGGGAGGAAGTCGTGGGGGAAAGTGGAAATGACAGATTAGATTTGCAGTTAGGAAATGTCCCTCTGGGCCCACTAAGAAAGGGCTGGAGCCAGGCAGCTAGAAGGTCATGTGATCTCTCTCGGCCTTTTGGTGAAGATCAAGTGTGGAAGGTCTTGCAAAGAAAAGAGGAGAGGGCAGCATTGAAAGAGGTTTTTATGGGGCAAAAAGTCTGATGAAGGTTTGTGTGTGAAGGGGAGGGGAAAGTCATGCAGGATGACTCTAGGTGCTGACTCGGGTTTGTGGGCTGGTGGTAGGTTAGTAGCCTTTGCTGAGGTGGACACTGAAGTGGTCTTTCCTGCGTCCACCCTGCCTCACACCACAGATTTGAAGGTAGACTCTGGAAGAACAAGTTCACGCAAATACAAATAGCTTTAAAAGAGCAATACTTTCAGTTGCCAAAATGAGCTAGGGTTACTGATGATGCTACTCGATGCTAAGTCGTCCTACAAAGAGGGCAAATGTCCCCCATGTCAAGAGTCGCTGCACTTTGGATACCAATAGCACGCTGGAGGAGAGACACAATAGAACACGCTGAATGCATAAATCATAAGAAAGCAGAGAATGTTCTACGGATGATCTGAGGGAATTACCCTTGCCTCCCCTCGCTCGATTAAAACAGCTTCAGATAAAGCTGAATGCAAGGGAGCTGTCATCTCCCTTCGCTTTTTACACTCGGCTCCATTCTGTGTGTGTGTGTGTGTGTGTGTGTGTGTGTGTGTGTGTGTGATGGGGATTGAAGCCAGGTACTTCTGAGTGCTAAGCACTTACTCTACAGTAAACTACACGCTCAGCCTTCCAAATCTTTTTTTCTTTTTTTTTTTTTTTTTTTTTGGTGGGGGGAAGGGTGCAGGGTGTTTCCAGGAAGCTTTTCCCAAAAGTCTAAACAAAAACCATGGTCTTCAAGTCAACCCTCGACAAGCCTCATTGCGGGGCGGGTTTTTTCCCCTCAGACCCACCCCCGCCCTCCCCATCTACCTCCTTAGCGTTTTGCCGCCTTCACGGGTCTCCGCAGGGGACCGTCACCTTCCACCCCATCAGAAGTAAATTCCACGAAAGAACAGCTTTTGCCTGCCTGCTCCGCGAGACGTTAGGTCTCCGCCGCCTTGTTCTGGCCCTAGCGTTTGGAAGGAGGTTTTCGTATTATATCAGGGTGTCCACGGACCACCACCTCCAAAGCTAGCGCTCAGCGGACTTCAGAGGCTTAAACTCGGCGGAGCTCCCCTCCCCGTAACCGGGGTGATGCTTTCCCGGCCACTTAGGCGGTCTGCGCAGGCGCACAGCCAGCCCCACCCACCCCGTGACGTCACGCGGCCGTTAAGGCGCTCAGGCAGCGGCGCGCGCAAATTAAAACTAGCTCCAGAGTGGTCGAGGGCAACATGGGACCTCCCGGGCTAGGTAAGGCCGAGCCGGCACAGGCTCAGCGGGCAGGATCCGGTATGGAGCGATGCCCCGAGCGGGCACGTCGGCAGATGGGCCCGAGCGAGGAGTGGATAAGTTACCCGGTTTCTCGACCCGAGGACCTGGGCAAAGGAGGCCTTGGGGGGAGGGGAGAGGGGCCGGGCGCGCACGCTCGGCCAATGAGGATGCAGCTGCTGGT